TAACCATCAAAGAATGTTTTCTTCTGTGTTTAAACCTTTTCTTGAGTTCTTATAATAGTGGTCTTATACAATATTTGTCAATTTATGACTGACTAAATTCACTCAGCATAATATCTTCCAGATTACTCCACGTTGTGTTTCACGGATTCATCATTGTTCTTTATTGTTGCGTAGTATTCCATTGTATGAATATACCATAATTTGTTTATCCATTCGTCCATCGATGGTAACCCATCATCTTTGTTGTTTCCATCTTCTTAGTATCGTGAACAGTGCTGCAATGAACATGGATCTGCATATATCTATTTGTGTGGCGGCTCTTATTTCTCTAGGATATATTCCAAGGAGCCATATAGCTGTATCGTATGGTACTTCTATTTCTAGCTTTTTAAGAAAGTGTCAAATCAATTTCCAAAGTGGTTGTACCATTCTACATTCCCACCAACAGTGTGTAAGTGTTCCAGTCTCTCTACAACCTCTCCAACATTTATTATTTTGTGTTTTTTGGATTAATGCTGGCCTTGTTGGGGTGAGATGATACCTCATTGCAGCTTTGATTTGCATTTCTCTAATGGCTAATGATTGTGAGCATTTCTTCATGTGTCTCTTTTCTGCCTGAATGTCTTCTTTGGCAAAGTGCCTGTTCATATCCTTTGCCCATTTTTAATTGGGTTATTTGTCTTTTTGTTGTTGAGGTTTTGCAGAATCTTGTAGATTTTAGAGAGTTGTCATAGCCAAAATTTTTTCCCAGTCTGTAGGTTGTCTTTTCACTCTTTGGTGAAGTCTTTTGAAGATCATAAGTGCTTGATTTTTAGGAGCTCCCAGTTATCTAGTTTCTCTTCTGGTGTTTGTGCATTGTTAGTTATGGTTCGTATTCTCTTTATACCAAGTACTAGGGCTTCTAGCATTGTCCCTATTTTTTCTTCCATGATCTTTATTGTTTTTGATTTTACATTTAGGTCTTTGATCCATTTTGGGTTAGTTTTTTTGTATGGTGTGAGGTATGGGTCTTGTTTCAGTGTTTTGCAGATGGATATCCAGTTATGCCAACACTATTTGTTAAAGAAACTGTCTTTTCACCAGTTAATGGACTTTGGGCCTTTTCAAATATCAGCTGCTCATAGGTGGATGAATTTACGTCTGGATTCTCAATTCTGTTCCGTTGGTCTATGTATCTGTTGTTGTACAAGTACCAGGCTGTTTTGACTACCATGACAGTATAATAGTTTCTAAACTCAGGTAGTATGAGGCCCCCCCCCCCTTTTTTCTTCTCCTTGAGTAATGCTTTACTTATCCAGGGCATCTTCCTTTTCCATATGACATTGGTGATTTGTTTCTCCATCTCATTAAAATATGCCGTTGGAATTTTAATGGGGTTTGCATTGTATTTGTAGATCGCTTTGGGTAGAATTGGCATTTTCATAAGGTTGAGTCTTCCTATCCATGAGCAAGGTATGTTTTTCCACTTAAGCAGGTCTCTTTTGGTTTCTTGAAGTAGTGCCTTGTAGTTTTCATTGTATAGGTCTTTTACGTCTCTGGTTAAATTTATTCTGAAGTATTTTATCTTGTTGGGAGCTATTGTAAATGGTATTGATTTGGTGATCTCCTCTTCCAAGTTCTCTTTGTTGGTGTAAATGAATCCAACTGATTTTTGTATGTTTATCTTGTATCTTGATACTTTGCTGAAATCTTCTATTAGTACCAGTAGTTTTCTTGTGGTTTCTTTGGGGTTTTCTGTGTATAAGATCATATCATCTGCAAATAGAGATACTTTGACTTTTTCCTTACCAATCTGAATGCCCTTTATTTCTTTTTCTAGCCTACGTGCTCTGGCTAGGACCTCCAGCACAACGTTGAATAAGAGTGGTGATAAAGGTCATCCTTGTCTGGTTCCCATTCTCAAGGGGAATGCTTTCAAAGTCTCTCCCTTTAGGATGATGTTGCCTGTTGGCTTTGTATAAATGTCCTTAATTATGTTGAGGAATTTCCATTTCATTCCTATTTTGCTGAGAGTTTTTATCATGAATGGGTGACGGACTTTGTCAAATGCATTTTCTGCATCGATTGATAAGATTGTGTGATTCTTGTCTTTTGTTTTATTTATGTGATGGATTACATTGATTGTTTTTCTAATGTTGAACCATCCTTGCATACCTGGTATAAATCCCACTTGATCATG